TTTCATGAAATGTGTTTTTAGACGCTTTACTTTTAACTTCTTCAAAGTTAAGAGTAGAGTGACGAAAACATAATCTTTTATTTTTAAATACGAGTGGGCCTGAAGTTCATGGGGAGTCAAAAGGACCTCTTGCTATTCTAGCATTAATGGCCATTATGAATTTATTTAATGTGGGGGAGTGAGAAAATATCTTCATGCACACTGTTTTGTTTTGCTACATCATTAGTTGTAATGCAGCTAAGTCAAGGTGTGCAATATGAATTTTTTCTGCTTAAAAGCCATGCCAATAAATTATTAATGGTGTGTTACTCGGCAGAAAGACAACTACTATGAGCATTAATTACGGTTATCAATTTAATTGTGCGTAAAATTGAAAACTAGTTTTATGCACATTGGCCATTGCGATGTCATTGTGATCTAGCTATATCCACATGTGCAATAAGAAATGTTCCTTTTTGAAAAGCATGTCAGAAAATATCTGGTGTGTTACTTGGGGGAAAGACAGAAAATATCCTTACCAATTTATTTTTTAATATGAAAATACTGAATTTTGGACTCCTTTTTCTGTTGCATCGTGTGCATCTATTGCCAGGTGCACAATAGAGAATACTCTAAAGGCATGGCTGTCTTAATGTGTCTGGAGGGGAGAAAACCTGAGGACATTTACGATTTTATTTCATGTTGTAAAAAAGAAACTTTTTTTTTTCTGTATCATTATGTTCTTGCTAAGCTCAATTGTGCAATACATGTTCTATTTTTTAAAAAACTTGCAAGAAAGGCAATTAAGGAAACCTAAATGTTGTTTCCATAGGGACTAATTTTTTTAATAAAAAAAAAGTTTTAAAGCACACATTTTTCTGCTGTATCATTAGTTGTGATATAGCTAAGCCCAAGTGTGCAATATGAATCTTTCCTGCTCAAAAGCCATGCCATTTGTCGTATGGTGTGTTACTCGGCGGGAATACAGTTTTAATGGCATCCCCCCCTTCTTTTATCTTTTGGACAATAAAATAATTACAATGTAATATAAAATAAAGACTCAATTTACAGAATGTGTTTGAATTTAGGTTTTCATGTTCTCTTTTTTTTCCTGTATTTCTCTCATTTTCATGTCTTCAATTCTAAATCTTTACTCTGTACTAATACAATTTAACAGAATATTTATTTTTAATTTGTGGGCATTTTAACACCCACCTGCCTATTGCAAGGAGCAGCTTGCTGGCCTCAGTGGTATAGCTCGAATAGGTGGCCCTCTGCCTCGGTAATTATAAAAATATTACAATGCTGAATTGTTTATACATTAATATAAAATCAAAGTAGATATAGTCAGGCAGTAAGAAAAAACTGCGACGGGGGGGATTATCTGCCCACGTTTTCTGGAGTTCCAGGATCCATTCCCGTTATTTTAGCTATAGTTGCGAATGACATAACATTAAAAATTGATTCTGAATTATTTAAATATAATTGTAGAATCTAAAGGATTAAGTGTGTATAGAACAATTTTTAAATCATTAAAATTTTATAATTCAACTGGAGCATTTCCTAATTGGTGTGACCTGCCCTCTCCCAATTACGGCATAAAATAATGAGATTTAGAATTGCATTGTTTAAGTTTGATTAACGGGAATTTTAACTTTTCCTACGTTCACATTTCAATCGGTTTTGAAACGGGCTTGGCGTGGTTGATCTGAGAAACCTCAGATCATTGGTAAGGGAAGTCAGCCGGCACCTTGCTCATCGCTGATCTTGTGATGGTAAGAGACTATTGATCAACTGTTTGCAACACTATGAATTTTAAAGGGAGCCAAATACCATAATCGTCATTGAAACGAAGATTTAAGTTTTCTATTTCGTTATATGCCGTTGATAATCACTGCCACTTTCAAAGGAAGATCCCGTGGCCGGGGATGCGTACTAGGAAGGGGGGAAAATCTACGGTCACGGGCGAATAATTTTTTTAAACGAGAAAACGAACTTCTTGTTTTCCTCACGAATATCAACTTGTAGTTTGGGAAAGTTTTATACTGCGGAGAAATCGTATGCGGTAGGTGCTGAGAAGTCAAGCGCGAAATATATGTAGTTTATTGGAAAGTAAAGTAGAACGATTCCAGAAATTGTTTCTGGTAAACTGTTCGGGAGCAAGAGTGAAAATAACTGCAGGAAAGGAGGCTATTGTTTACCTGGCAGGGTCGGTCTAGACGATTCATACCCCCCTGCAAAATTATTTTCTCCAAAATTTCAGTGCACATAAGAATTCGGATATGAATGCCGCAGCATTTCTGAAGTGGGGCAGGAACAGCCATACTTGCAATTCGTGTACCGATGCAAATAAGTTTTCTACAACTCGGAAACTAACATGACTTTTTCAAATATTGCTAATCTTACAATTTTTTAATTTTATTTATGTTAAACTTTAACTCGCTTTTCAACTATTTATAGTGGACGGGAAGGAATTCCGGAACTCAAGAAAACTTGCTCAGATATTCTTCCCCCCTACGTTACATCGTTTTTACCCCTTTTTTTT